ATGCTTATTATCCGCAAGAAGTGTAACACCTTCACGGAATAGGTTGTTCTTTCTCTTCAGGATTCCCACATTCCACGCGTTGCCCGACATTGGTCCTGGCCGTCTCGGGACCCGAGGCCGGCTCGGGACCCGCCTCTGAGCGCAGTTGGGCCATTCAACTGCTTTCAGGCGCCGTGAGGAGGCCTCCTGGGAACAGCTGTGGTTGTCTCGCGCGGTGCATCGATCTCCGTAGGTTGGGAACGCTCCGTGTCTCTTGGATTGAGGAAACACTCTACAGTATAACTCGGGAGTGGCGTCCGTTCCTGGAATTGAACACTGGAAACACCCAACCCTTGCTTTTGGATGCTTTTGGATGGTTTCTGGTTTTTGCGAAGACTGACGAGAGCATCAAGAGCAGCAAGAGGGTGTGGCTTTGGGGAGAATGTCGCGCTCAAGGAACGAGCACCTGCAACAAGGCTGCTTCAGCCGTCAACCAAAACTTCCTGGGTCTCACCCGTGTTCTTCGTGTGACTGGGAACAAACAAGTCTCACTGATGTTGGATGATGCAACCTGATCCCTTTCCCCTTCTTTGACCGCGTTACGAATGCCGCTATGGGCCCCATCCCGAGTGAAAGTTACGTTGCTGGGATGGCGGCTTGGCGGCTGAGTGACCTACACTGGGCACTCTGGGCACTCTGGGCACTGCAAGGCGCATCGCCCGCTACGACTCTTACTTCTCGAAAGCACGTGTCGGCAGCAGGTGTCGGCAGAATGCTTCGGCTTCGATATTTACCCTGTGAACTTAGTTGGTATTCACAAACCTATCAAATGTGTGGACATTCCGATCTGAGAGGGCAAACTTGCAGCACAACCTTCAGCTGTGCATGTGGGCTGCTCAAATCCGCTCGTTTCTTCCCCCCCACTCAACTGAGTGACTTGGGTTCAATGCCTCCAAAAGGAGAATCGAGACGTCAAAGGTCAGACCAAAAGGAATTAAAACAAACATATTTGATCCTAGGTAACCCGAGGAAACCACTCAGTTCTATCTGAACATCCAATTCTGCCAAAACCGCACATGGCACCAACTCCGGCCGGCTCTTCCCTGCCAGTGCTGTCTTCACATCCCGTCACTTGAAAAGCGGTCACGGTCGTCACGATCACGCTCAGAGGGATCTGAAATCATGTTCGGTCAAGGAAGGATCACGGTCAAGGATTCCGATGTCTGCACAGGTGAGCCGGTGAACTTCCCAAAACCAACACATCCTCACCTTTCATCGGACCAAATCGACCAACGTGTCCGGTCTTAAAAAGACCGACTCCCGAGCCATTTGGAAAATCTGGTTCACCTCTGTCCGCTTGTTCTGGCTGGTGAATAATGGCCGAGCCATTCCATCCAATGGAACCGCAAAATAAGAAAGCGTTTTGCAAAGATACCCGATCTCCATCCAGTTTTTTCCCATCCCCCAAAGAAAAAGGTCAACAAGAACCAAGGGTCCAAGAACAAGGCACGCAAATAATGACAGACATGCGCCATTATTATAAATATGATATACAGTAACTGCTTTCTCCCCCCGTGCTCCAGCTAACATGAGTTTGTCCCGCTTCGGATCGAAAACATGGATCCAGCGACCCACCGACTGGAAGGATCACTCCTCGAAGGAGCTCCAAACGTCGCATTGCTCCGCCTCGCGCCGCGAGGCCCGCGGCGTCCTGAGCAACGAGCGCGGAGCAGCGAGGAAGCGAGCGAAAGCACCCAAAGGTGAGGATCTTCAGGTTCTAATCGGTCACAGTCGTGGAACTCAGGTCGTTGAAAGAGATAAAGAGGTCGTTGGGATGGAGAAGTGATGTTTTTGGATCCAAAAAGCTCCCAAACAGAACTGAACCCCCTTGGTGCGGTCCCAGCAGCTGTGAAGACTGAAAGCTAGCTGTGAAATGGCCTGATTGAGTTGCTTTTGGACTTCAAACTCGAAGATGTTCTGAGAAACATTGAAAGACGAATAAAACCATTGGCATTCATTGGTCCCATGAATTCTGGTTAGAGGAGTATCGTTCTTCGGGATGATGGTCTCAGCGGTCGAAACGACACAACGACTTCGTCGCACGAGACGAGACTCGTGGGTTCCGCCATGTCGGAGTGAGTTTTTGATGGAACGAAGCAAACTGCTTTGCAAAAAAGACCCAGTTGGTACTGCTTTTTTGGAGTATGTACTGGCATGTGTTTGACAAGCAGCTGGTACTAGCAAACTGCTGATGGTCACCAAGTCCAGGCGACGAAACTTCTTAGTTCTTTCCAGGCCACCTGGCCACTTTCGTTGCCAACGACCGATCTTTCCACACCAGGACACATCACTAGATCCATGGATGGCTCGAAACAGAAGCACTCGCACAGCAGCAAGGGTCGCAGGATCACCACACTGAGCAGAAGGTTCAGCATGAAGACATTGTAATAGCCTCACTTCGCCCGACACCCGGGAATTTGTTTTTTCCTTGTTCGGTTTTTCCCTGGTGCCAGAGGGCCCGGCCGGCGACGGAACCAGGAGACACCCACTGTGGTCATATGTCGTGGGTTCATGATGTGAGACGTGGGTCGAAAACCAGCAACCCATCGAGCGAGCGCACATGGGTTTTCAGGGGTGGAGTGACGGCAAAATGTCAACAATGAATGAATCCTGCCATGACTTGGAGGGGCCAGTATAAAGACTACACTACAAATCCACAATGGCCCAATCAACAGGATGTCCTTTCGCCTAATGATGGCTACACCAAGTACCATCGATGTCCAAACCAACCCAAACCATCAACAAATTGGAGTGCAACTCCATGTCTCTCTGCGCCATCTGGCACTTTGACCATCGAAACGCCATCGGCCTTCGACCCGAACGGAGCGACGCGACGATCGGAAGGGTCCACACCTGCACCAGGACGAGCCGGCGCGGAGCTGGGCAGTGCCGAGCTACGCCGGAGCAGTTTGTTGCTTCGGCGACAGGCCGCCACGGTGCCGAAGATTTGGGAGCCCATGCGAAGAGTCAAGATAGAGAGGATGCAAATCCATCCACCTGCATCCATCGGGTGGAGCGGAGCCGAGCCAAAATTAGGTGCGGGAAAGAGTCAGGCTGAGTCAGGTGCAGTACACAGCCCATTCGCTCGGGGTCCGTCCTGAAGGAGATTCAAGGCATATTATTCTACATGCTTTTATGATCTTTTGTGATTGTATGTGGAGGGAATTGAAAAACAAACCGCCTGAATGCCTTCCTAATTGCAACCAAACAAAATAGCACATAGTCCGGAATCCCTGGTTTCAGTGGTGAGTCCAATTGCGGGTTCATAGTTGGGGGAGGGATTCTACAAAATATGTCATCACCTGTCCACCCGAGCAGCACCTGCTGATCCCAAAGTGGAAGTTTTCATGATTATGATTCGATTGAACCCTCCACAATGCAAACGAAAAGGATGTTGTCTTTCTTCTCATCTTTGCCCCTCCTTAAAGCAGCTTTTGGATTAAAACTTTTGCAAAAGGTGGGGATGGCTCTGGAAAAAGAAGAAGCAATCAGTGATTTCTCCTATAGGCATCCAAATTGGCGACTTGCAACACCAGTCAAAGGACGCTGAAAAGTGCAGCTTTGGGTCCTTCCGAACAGCCAAGGCTCACTTGCCTCCCAGTTTCGTAGTTGAGGTAATGTAAACACATAGAACCATCGGACGCTTGATCGGAAACCATTCTGAATGTGTTCTGTTCTGGTCTTCGCAGGATTCCTCTGCGACGTCCCACTCTTGTTCCAATCCAACCAAGGCTCTTCCCTCGGGCATCCCCAGCTGTGCCAGCGGCGCATGCTCTGTAAAGATGCGGCAGAGCAGCAGGCAGAGGATCAAATCAATTCCCAGGAGAATCACGACAGTCCTTGTGCGAGTCCACATGTGTCAGGAAGAAAGCAGGAGGAGTCCACATAGTCGTTCTTGTCCTGACAGTCCAAAAGCCATTGTAAGTTTTGACATAGACCATGGAATAGCATTCCAGAAATCCAGACTCCGCTTTGGGGGGCTGAAAAATGGCACCCCAACTCCAACAGCTTGGGCACCACCCTCCACTCGACCCCCAGACCACCGCCCTCGACCTCGACCTCACCACTCCCTCATCACTCCTTCGCGAGACCCATGGATCCAGCGTGGCCGACAGATCACGGCAGCGACAGCTCGAGGAGCCATCGCTCCACCTGGACGAGTCCGCCAGGCACAAGCAGAAGTGCTTGGAAGGTCAAACCAGACTTGTGTGTGTGGGGGGGGGGGACTTTAAAAAGAATCCCATTTGAAGACAAATGGGCAATTTGATGCGGATGCCATTCGCGCCTTGCACAGCAATCCGCCAGGTTTCGTTTCAGTCTCCAGCAGGTCGCCATGCGGCTGCAATAACTATTGCATGTTGCTTCGGCATGTGTTCACGCAGCAGGCCACACCAACACGAGGAAGCTAGAGGAGTCAGTGGGTACGTGTGGGTCAGCCCACACTTCGGTGAAGCAAGATCTGAAGTCTAAAGTGAACCAACTTGTGAAATTAGTCCAGTCATCATGCAGATGTGGGTGAACTTGAGCCGGTGCAGATGTTGATCTTTCTCGTCCGGAGCGAGTCGAACCTCAGTTTCAGCGCCAGGCTAAGTCGGGTGGAGATCAGCAGGTACGTTGCAGGAATTCCAGCTGTGTCAGGATTTGCTGATGGATGTCTCCAGTTGGTGTGCTGTGCTAAAAATGGCGACCTCAAAGAGCCACGAGGGAAGCAACGGCGCCTGGAGTGGTTTCTGGCAAACACTGCAGAAGCAGCTGGAGTTGGTAGAGCAACTGGGCAAAGAATGGATTCCAGCAAAAACCGCGGGGCTTCCGCCTAAAAACATCATGATACATCCAAAACCCTCCAAATTCGGTGGAAATGGAAAAAGAACCAAAAACACACGTCCGGACGAATAGAAAAGACGTCCAGTCACCCTTTCTCGCACCGGACGGTCGGTTCGTCATGATGGTAGTCTGGTCGCCTCCAAGTCGTGGAAGATCCATCCATGTTGCAGCATCCAAGCACGTAGTCCGGCCAAGGGGCTCAACACCAAGCCCCCTCCTGCAGGTGTCTCAGTCTGTCGAAAGGCGTTTTCCGGGTGTCCAAGGCGTGGCCCAACACGAACTGCCAGACAAACCGGACGTGGAACCCGGTCCGGAGACCCCGGACCTATGACCTCTGAGCCCCCCAAAAAGAGGGTGAATTTGCTTTCAAGTTCGGTTGGAAACAGTTCTATCTATGGGAGGATCACGATTTTCAGTCTACTGCAGGCCGATGTTTCTTCCTCTGGCTGCACAATTGGCATGCAAATCATGAAACTCAGCACCTCCTCGAACGCTTGGACTGGGCGGCAGCCTGCCAAGGTGTTTAGACAAACATGCACCACTTATGTTTGGCGATTTCGCCGAACTGGAGCAGCAGGAGGTGTTTTTCAACTGTGGCAATTGGCCCAAGAGGACGGAACTCTGCAATGGGCGTAGGCCCGAGTGACTGGTGAAATTAGACTCCAACTCATCATGGGGGGTGACGTGACATGTTGCTCAATTGCTTTCTTTCAAACCAGATAGACCACATGTGACCAGTGCGTCAAGTGGGCCGAAAGGTTCACAGGCGGGACCGCCACGACGTGACGTGACAAGCGGGCGGTGACGGTCCGAGTGAAAGCCTGAACACCTGAAGAAGTCATGCATTGGTCCTCTTTCATTTCACAGAGCAGTCTCAAGGTCCTCATATGCTGTGCAGTTCTTTTTTCTGACAGCCAATAGGTCAAGGGGTTCTCACAACTCGAACAACTACATCTTAATTGTACAATGTGTATACTGTATATATATATAAGTCCTTCTCCAAGATCTCGGACCGCATGACTCACAGCCAAATCCCACATGACTCAGGGCTGAAAGAGCCGCCCTCTGACAGATCCCACAGTCTGAGAGAATGACCCCACCGCGAACCGAGCACCCCTCTTAAAAGCAGCACGATAGGGATTCCCTTCTGAAAAGAAAAAAAGCCAAGAGTAAGGTTCCAGCAAGAAGAAACGGGAAGCCTCAAGAGATAGATCTCAAAGAGTGGTCTCCCACCAGGAAGAGAATAAGAAGGCACACTCCAACCTTTGCGTCCTCACGCACCCACAACAAGCGCGCACGGTTTCGGTCACCGGGCCCCCGTTGCTCTTCCAGCAGCCGCACGGCAGCCGAATGCCCGTCAACGGCTTTCGGGACCTGGCAGCGGGTCATCAACGATGTCCGACGGGATAGGGGTCGATGACAGGCACCACATACCTCTTGGTTGTTCACGTCTCCGGGATTCTCCGGGTATCCCCTGTCGGCCCACCAAACCATCGGCATATGTCTGGCCCAACCTGCATCCATCGGCAGTTACCAGTGGTCAAACCACCAAACCAGTGACGCACCACGGCCGTGGTGGTCGAACCGAACCGGTCGAGCTGTGAAAAGACCCAAAGAATCTGGGCAGCAATGCAGGCGGACAGGGCAAAAAGATCAGGACTTGCACGTTAAGAGTCTTTTTGGGGGGCACTGCAGGACTTGCTACTTCAGCAAGTCCTAAAATCTGGCTCCCTCCCAACCAGCATCCGTCATCTTGATGTTCAACACCTAGAACCAAAAGAGACTGTTGCTGCATGTTGCTGCTGCTTCTATTACTTTCTATTAACCACCGCCTTATTGTCAGGTCGTGCCTGGCGATAGGCCTCCAGTAGCCGAGAAAACTCCTGTCATGCAACCCGAAAGTTTTTGGCTTCGGGTTCCAAGAATGACGCCCAAGCGGGCGGGCCCATTTTGAGGTGCCACTCCCTTTTGGTCTGCAACAAGTTCGAAATGAAAAAGAAAAGAAGAAAAGCTAGGTGTAAACACCCACAAATCCTTGGTTTAACCATCTTTTGGACATGTGAAACTCACCCAGCCGTCCAGGAGTGGGGCAAGTTCGTCCTGCTCTCCGTTCGTCCTGCTCTTCTGGGACGTTCTCTAAAGTCTTTGTGGATAGCGGCGGATAGCGATGGGGTGCTGGGTGTGAGTTGGTTGTACCCAGGAACGGTCAATACACCTCGGCCCGCAGTCTTTAAGATTGACCCCCTGGAATTCATTCCATCTGCATGAGTGGCAAGCGAACCTAACTTCAGGTGAGTCCATCGACTTGGATTTGCCAGGGTACAGCCTACTTGAGATTGTTCCCAAGAAGAGACCCACAAAAAGGAAAGTAAAATGCGCAAGGATAGACACCAGGAGTTTCATGGATGTTCACTGTTCAACCCGCCATCTGGAACGCCCAGATGCACTATCTGGGATGGCACCTCATCTCCACTAAAGTTCCCCATTTCGGAAAGGGGAAGAATTGGCCGGTCCCCCAGAACGATTTGGATGATGATTTTCTCCATTCTTCATCTCCTGAGCTGTGTCTAAGGTGGGTCAACCGCCAGGCCAAGAGCAGGGGGCCCCAGATCCAAGAAGGGGCCCAAGGAATCCCAGGCGAGCCACTGTGCCACCAATCTCATCCTCGTCTTTCATGAGATTGATGTTACGGCCGAGAATGAATAATCCATAATCATCCACCATTAAAATACTATGGTCTTTCCCTTTATTTTAATGGTGGTTCATTCTCTTATCTTCTACCTCTAGATCCAGATGAGCGGTGTAAGGACTTCCTCACTGTCACTACCCTCGATTCCATCTTGCGTGCTCTGCTGCTCTATCAACTCTAGGTGGCAGTCATGTTGATCAACTCCTATGTGCTTGTGGCATCACTGACGCCACAAGCTTACAAATGCAGCAATGTGCTGGTGGCATTGACTTCTGCACCGAAAGAACACACATCGGTGTTTTGGAACTGGACCCACATCCAGCATTCATCCGTTGCAGCAACATCCGCTGGGTACGTCGAATCGAACTCGGACGGGTACAAGGGGTTGAGCAACAGAAAGAACACATATCATCCTCCTGTGAATTCCGCCTGACCCCCAAGGGGCGGTCATTCGCTCTCATTCGCTAACCCCTATCACAGATCCATGGGAAAGCATGTCGCGGCCATCCAGCATCGCCTTTTTCGGATCAGGCTACGGGCCAAAAGGCTAGCCTCGTGTCTATGCGAGCAACCACCGCAGGGGCCGCAGGGGTACTTGGGACGAAAAACATGTGCGAAACCACGGTGCCGTGGTGCTGTGGGGCCGGGTGAACGACTCGGACCACACCATGGACTTGAGCTGTGAAAAAGAAAAAACCATCCAAAAGCCATCAAAAAGCCATCTACTCATCTTATTAGCAGTTGCGGAGACATAAACCCTTTCGAGCCAAGCACCACTGCGGGTCCAAGAGATCGCGCTGTGCGATAGGGCTCTTGCCCACTGAGATCTCTAACCGGGCGAATTAAAGGAACTGGTGTTTAGATCATTAAAGTATTTCAAGTCCAAGCGTGGGCCAAAACACAAGTGCGCAAAAAGTCTCCAAGTCCTGAGTCTTGACCCACTCTTCACATTTCGCCGTGGTCTCCTACAGGCCGCGGATGCAAAGATTAGGCACCCCCTTTTGGGTGCCAGATGAAGATGGTTCAGCAGAAAGGAGCTCAAAGGATTCGGCAGGGACCTAACGCATCTCATCAATTAGCCTCCTACAACTCTTGAACTTATTAATAGAGGCCTCTTGTCAATAGCCTCTAATCAGTCAGCCTCTTTTCATCTTAGTGACGTATGGGCAGGGGGCGCGCAAGAGGGGTCGTCCCTGCTGTCGAATGCACGTTCTGACGCCCAACAGCTTTTGTGCGTCCCAACAGCTAGGCGACGTCAGAATCAAACTGCCCTTGGCTTTGCAGCCCCCTGCTTCAAAAAATAGGTGATTCAATTATTCCTCATAGATCTAGATGGAAGTACCCTTACAAGTTAGAAAGAGCCTCTTCTTTATGAACACAGGAAGCTTTCGCAGCTCAAGGACGGTGCCGGGGATGGACGGTCCATTTTCTGCCGAATCCGCGGCTCGAGTTCGCCACACCGGTCGACCTGAAGAGCCCAGAATCGGAGACGAGATGGGCCACGAAGGGCCTACGGGGCGAAACGGGTCGCCTTCTCGTCGTCGATCGATGTCTTTTCTCTCGTGAAAGACCCAACCGAAACCGATGCTTTCGCTTCAGGTCTGGCTTCCCAACGTGGAAAACACGTTCCAATCATCCCGTGCAGCGGCAATACCTCCCAGCGCCGCGGACGCGGCGGGTCCACGGGGCGTCTGCCCGATGCTCGTCTCCAGGTTCGTCTCTAGTGTTCTCTTTAAGCGAAGGAGGGGAAGGAATGAAAAGACCAGAAAGAATGGTGAAGAAGAATGAAAGACAGAAGTAACATAAGACAGAAAGGGTAAAAAGAGTACTAGAAGTGTTCTTCTTGAGACCGTGTTCGTGTCTCTTTTCCCTACCCATTGCCTTTTCTGTCTCTTTGGCTCATTCGTTGGGCTCGCTCCTTTGGGCCAAACAGGATCCACATTCTCTTCCACAGCAGGCAAACGTACAGAAAGGTTCCAAATACCCTCGATGTGTTTGTTGTATTTGGCTTGAAGCTCGAATGAAGCTCTCGCAACCGCTGAAGGACCAAAACCCATGCATTTCACTCACCCAGGGCACTTGTGGACGTACTGTGTCCACTCGCTCCATGCGTCTGCAGCTCCGGAGCTCTTCGCCAGACTCACCACCTCACGTGGAATGGCCGCGTCGACGCGGTGGGCTAAAATGGCGTGGAATACAGGGTGCCAAAAGGCACGGTGTCCGGATCTGCGGAAGTCAAAATGCCTTGCAAATTCCATCAAATTCCTCCGCAAACATCCTACAGTAACGCGCCCGGCACGTGGATCCGAATCCGCCGTCGAATTCCCTGGTGACTTCGAGGTTTTGACCCATGGACATCAGTGGTGAGCTGCAGTGGGTCCATCTTCCATCTTCTTTCGGGATGGAGAAAAATGGTGTCTTTGGGTTCCAACGCCCATTCTCCATGACACAATGGCATTGAGACCATGACCACATCAAAGAAGCCGCCAGCATCCTGCAAACGCCGAGCTGCATCAAGGGAACTCGGACGCCGAGCTTCGAAAAACCGGAATCGGACGGCCCGAAACCGATGCGTTTCTTGTTGCTGGGGTCTGGGATGGTCTGGGTGAACGAGGCAAAAGAAGGACCTGGGTGCAGAATTTTAGAGCACATTGTCTGACCTGCCCCTTCGCAGCTTTCAGGCTCCCTGTTGATGCAGGGGGAACAAACATGAACAAACAATGTCTTCGAGACATCACAAAGAGGTGTCCGACTTTACTGGGCATGTTTGACACAGGTTTTCTCGCAGGAAAGAAACCATCATCAGAATCACTTCTTCGGGGTCCAACATCACAGACAGAAATTCAGCACGCACAGGCTGAGTTGAAACATGTGTCAGGCCCAATCATTGCCGGCTGGGGTAGAAAGGGTGCTGGGGACACATAGACGAAGCAAAAGAAACATCTGAAGATGTCAGCTGGCCTAGGACGAGATCAGCCCTTTTCCAGTCTCTCACTGTTTTCTTGTTCGTTGAGAGTACTCACACCTATTATGGACAATACCCCAGATAGGGTCCCGCCAGGCTCTTGTTCCATGTCTGGATTTGGTGAAAGATCGACGGTCAGTGGGACGGTCCATGTGTGGTCACGAGGAACCAAAAAAAGAAGAAGCCGAAGCAAAATCTGAAAAAAAAGAATCCCTTAAAAGAAACATATAAATAGTAATAGTAAGAAGAATAACTATGAATAAATAAGTAAATAAATAAACTATATAAGTTATAAATATCTTAATAAACCATAATCCCTTTTAAAAAAAATAAATAACGCCAAGAAAACGTGTACTATCGTGTACTCGCACTTCCTGTTGGACAGTCGTGCTTGAGTTGAGAGTAGCCGTGTCATTCGACGTGTACTACGTGTCCAGAAGCCTGGGGAAGCCCATGTCATTCGCCGGACCGCAGCTCGTACCGCGAGAAAAATACCGCAGATCACCTCGTTGCAGTCACTCCATCCTCCATCCCCAAGCAGTGAGCTCTGCATTTTGGGGGACCCATGATGACCCCAATCACCGCCCCATTCAACCCGAGTTCCCAGAGAAAGACCGGTTTCGGGTTGCGCCGACTCGGATTCTGTTTCGGATTCACCGACCCAGGCCGACCGGCTCCGAGGACGTCGTGTGAGGAAAAGTCATGACCCCAACAAAAAGAATCAAAAAGACACGTCTGTCCGCCCGTGGGATGGTTGACGCGTCGACTCCGCCGGTGGGATGGTTGACGTGTCGACTCCGTCGACGCGCCTTCACACCGCCCTGACTCTTCAACCGCCTCGCCTGACTTTTCGCCTCCTGAAGTGGCTTCTCCGTTGGCCAATGCACTGCACGCTGGCCCTTCGGGTGACCTGGAGAGCGCTCGGTGGGTCAAGGCGCGGTCAACGGGGGGTGATGGAACATGATGGAACACATCGCGTGTCTCGGCTCGCGTCGTCGTCGGAAGACCAATCGCTCAAAGAGGGGACGCATGTCCGAAAAGGCGCGGTTCTTCCTGTCCGGCCCGGTGGGTGCCCAAGGCCCCCCAAGGCCGGTTCATTCCGCTCCGGAGAAGCCAAAGACCAAAGACACGAGGAAAGCGGGTCGGGGGTCTGAAACGGGACGAGACACGAACGACGCGAAGACCGAACCCGAAGGAACCGAGCTCCGGTGGAGGGTTGTCGTGAGGCGAATCCCGGTCGGTGGAGGGAGGAGAAAATGAAGTCGACATCGAAAACGAGAGACTCAGACCAGGGAGGCATGTCTCACATGTTTTGGGGGCCACCATTTTGCCGATGGAACACAGAGTTCGGAACACCTGGACATCTTCCAAGAATGGATTTACTAATACGGGATTCTCATTTGCGAGACATGTCCTGTGGAGCCGGTCCTGATCTTCCGAATTCTACTTGTCGCTTCTGCTTCTCACTCCTGCGGCACTACAAGCGCCTGATTGTCTCTCTCCAGCTTTCGGCATGGGCACGGAGCTGCTACACTGTCTCGCCGAACACTGGCGCTGGGAGAGAGAGGAGAAAGATCGAAGGTTGCCTACATCTCCAGTAGTGGATTTATATGATTTCATATGGCTGCAGTACTGAAACTATTGTCAGAGAATGCCAACATCTTGACCGAGCCAAAAGTGCCCAAGTCGGGAACATGTCAAAGCCTGTGGGATTTCATGTGATGTGTCTGATGACCGAGAACACGTCACAAGGTTGCGTGGACGACCCACCCTGTCAGAGTTGGTGTTCCCAGGGGTCAGTGTCCACTTCCATGTTAGTGAGCCGGAGTGTGGTGGAGGAAGGGTGCCATCAATGATGGAATCAAGCAGTACTTCCAACTACCTTTTTGGGGTTTTTGAGCACCTCCACAATGCTGTGCATACCTACGGACTTCTTGCCTGGACTCCTTTTTCGACGATCTATAGGCTTTACATCCAGTGTCTCTATGATTCTATTATTTGGTGTAGTGAATTGGATGCTTGTATCAGTGAATGCATCAACCTCCCCATGCGGACTTCCGCTTCAGCTGGACGAAGACGTCCCGTGGCCGAAACGAAGCCGTCGCCCGGTGCCGGAAACGGTGCTTTCACATGTGTACCGTTCCATACTTGGCACGCAAACCAGGACCCTTTGCCGGAGCAAACAGGCATTCAGAAAGGCCTTCTGTATCAGGTCTCATTACCCAAAGACTCCATGTATAGCATATATGCCTACATTGGGGTGGTTTGGGGGGTCAATGGGGCGGCATATATTCCAGTCCCATGGAGTGTCTGGGTTATGGTCTGGTTTCTTCGGTTCGAGTCTTGCCACGCGACGGTACCCGCTTCCACCTCCAGGCTCACGTGTCCAGTGCATTGCCTCGGGTTCATGGCAGGCCCAAGGGCAATCCCCCGTTGGTACCGACCGCCGGGGTTGATCTACAGGGGGATAAGGCATCTATATCCGTCGACATTTCTATACAATCTCCCATATTCTCAATTGCCCCAAACGCACCACTTAGATTCACATTGGGTGGAGCTCACCCGCGGTTGACTGTACCCAAGTTTGAGACCTGTGGACCATCTCTTCATATGCAGATCTGCCACCCACATCCACCCACCCAACTCTACTCGGACTCACCCCAACAAGCCAAACCGCCAAACCCACCTGAGCTTCTCCGCTGCCGGGCGGATGCTGCTTCTCCGCTCCGAGCTTCCGCGCGGGTCCAAAATGTCGAAGAGCTCGTGGAGATCCGAGACACTGGCGCAGCCCGGCGCGTCCGACAACAAGGCCTCCAGCGGCGCGGTCGGTCGGGCGCGAATCGTCGACCGGGTCACGCCGGTGGGCGCGGCGCCGGTTGGGACGGACGCACCAGTTTGGGGAGGACCCGGGTGTTGCGGTGTGAATTGGGTGTCCGAACTTCACGCGCGATCGCGGGAACACGTTCCGGGCGCGAACGAGAATGCTGGATCCGACTCAGCTGGGGATCGACATCAGCTGGGAAGGCATCCTGTCACTTAAATCCTCTCTTTTCCTTCGCAGTGGCCAGTACTTTTGGTTAAACAGCTTGAGAATTGGGCTCGACTGCAACAAAACATACCTTTGTTTCGAACAGGAAATCCAGCTCGTCCTTCGTCTCCTTTGGAGCCGGACCCCTACAGTATCAGCTCTCTGGGCCAAATCCGCCGAACACCTCGAGGATCTCGTCTTCCGCCCGCCCGCGGCAGAGCGGGTGTTCGGCCCCAGGTCTCGTATGTTCGACGGATCACTTCCACCTGGTGAAACCCAGTCCCAGAAAGAAGTGGATGGAACTTCCCAGTCCCAGCCATTTCTGTTAAAGGATGTCAATTGCCATATTGGGTTCCAACCCGTTGTTTCCGCTTGTTGGGTTTCCAGTTGTCTGACTCCCCGAGTTTTCGGGAATGGTCCGGAAGATTAGGGTGAACCGCACCAGCTCCACCGGTTTTTGGGTTCAGTGGGGTGGAACACCCCAACCTTGCCCGCTTCCAAAGGCTTCCAAAGGGTGCACCGTGAACTCATCAAGACGAACGTGGATGGCAGCACCACCTGTTTTGGTCTTTGGAGTTCATAGTCAATTTCAGGCCCATTTTCTTCCGTGCCGCCCGCAGTCGATTTCAGGGAGTGACCAGTTCCGTACGTACAAAAGGATGGAAACATGGTCACCATCAGGTCCAACGGTCCAACCAAGAGGCTCCTCCGACGCCTCCAGGGACGTTTTCGCGTTTCCACCGCCCTCACCACCTGCCCCTCACCTCGCAGGCGGCCACGAACTCGAAGCGGCCCAGGGATCCGTCATCGCCTGGAGCCCGACCGGGGACGTTCCAACCCAAGCTGACCAAGCTGACAGCTTGGCTAAAAGGATCGCTCTTCTCAAGGGGTTTCTTTGAAGTGACAATTCTGAACATTCAGATTTGTTCAAGGGTTTTTTTCAAGGTTCTCCCCACTGTGAAATAGAAATGGCAGACATCATCTTCTCCACGGCGCTCGGCGCTCGTACTTCACTCGCAGACTGTGTCCACATGCAGGTTCGAACGCAGTGTCCACTCAAAACATGCAGCTTCGAACGCAGTGTCCCTTCTACTGGTCTTGTTCCGGGTCCTCCTCTTGGGGTCACACCTGACCTTCCAAAACAAACGCTGCTCCACTCTGTGGAAATGGAGCAGCGTGGGGGGGGCTGGGGAACCGTGAGAACACCCACGCCAGTGGCGTCCGCCAATGGCGTCCGCTCAAAGAACCCCCAAACTTTGGTGAAGGCTTGAGGGATTCAGCTGCATTCCAGCTCGTGAGCATGCTGTTTGGAAAGCACTGCAGAGAAGCAAAAACTGCTAGCTAGCCAGAAAAGCCCAATTGTAGGCGAAGCTTCCCCGAAACTCTGGACCGAAAGTGTCTGTTTCTTCACTTCTTTCCAAAAAGACTCTCAAGTTCTGCAGGGTGGGCTCATCGCAACAAAAACCGTTTTGGGGGTCTTTGGGCGAATCCCACAACTGCGGTGATGTCCAGTTTGCAGGTGTCAGGCCAGCTCTCCAGTCTTCCATGTTTTCCAACAAAGCAGCGTGCAAAGCAGCGTGCAACAAAGCAGGTGTGTCTCCGGTTTTCCGGGCCTGCGCCCACGAAACTGTTCGCTAAACATCCTTGAAAGGCGCCCAGCAAAACCCTTGCTCCAACCCGAGCCCGGTAACCCGCCTGGAATGCTGACCATTGCAGCTTGCCATCGCCACGCAGCCACGCGCCGGTGGTGTAGAAAAGGACACAAAGCATGATTCACTGGTTTCATTCATGACACATGAGCGGTGCATTCACAACGTTCCATGATCTTCCACCAATTCGTGGGGGAATCATGTCAGACCCTTGGACGCTTCGGCAGCTTTGGGCACTTCGACTTCAGTAGTGACCTTCGGCATGGTCCACACGTGAGGTGGACGTTCGCTGGTGTCGGAGCCCTGATGACGACACCTCACGACGCCTCAGATCCATGTGACGGAGCGCATGTGGGTCCTCTGCATGTGTTTCCTGCGTGGGAACCTTGAAAGAAGAGCGTGCAAGGCATTGCGCCACAAGTGCCAAATCGTCTGGTGCGAAGTTGGCCAGAGGCATGATGATTGTGCTCGTCTAGACGTCGCCCAGTTCATCCTTCAACCCCGACGTCGGTTGATTACAACATAGAATGCTTTCTAGATCTTTCTCTAGAGTAGCTGTCCGCAGATGTCTTGGCTCACTGTAAAGGAAGACTCATGAAAACTCCATCAAACTTGGAGCAAGGCACCAAAGGAATTGGTGTCGGAGGAGACCTCCGAACCTGTCGGTGAGTGGGTGTATTGGGTGTGGAAACTTCAAATCCGGGAGACCCGGGGCTCCAACGGGTAGACTGGTCGTAGTGTTCTTCTTCCAGGGAGTTGAATTGGGAAGTCTCCCTATTTTCATGCAGAAACAAGTGCATCGCTACTAGTAACAAGTGCCTTGCTAGTAGTAACAAGAAGCTACGAGCTTCTTGTTACTAGTAGTAAGGCACTTGTTACTATGCACGCCTGTTTCTCTTTCACTCTGTGTCTCTCCTCATGGCCTCTCTCTTTTACGCCCCCAAGTGATCCGTCCAGGGCCGAAGTCAACTTCAGGGACAGAGCGCCCTTGGACGACAGAGTTTCCTTAGCCCAACCCGCGCAGGCCGCTTCCGGACCTGCCGCTCCCCAAGCAGCAAAGGCCCCCCATCGGACAAATGGATCCAAACCCGGAGGCCCCCAAGGCCGGGCGCCGATCGGTCGTCGATTCATCGATCGGATGGTCAACCGGTCGGTCTTTCCGGTGCCATGACGCCATCTCTCGGTGCCATGAGAACACTCGGCCGCCCGGAACTACACACGTGCATCATGCCAGTACCCCGCTCGTTCTTTGATCGCCAAATCGATGAGGCCTGCCTCGCCGCCTTTGAGTGAGGCCTGGCTCTAAGGCCTTCTGACAAGGCCACAAATCAGTGCCCTAGTCATGCCAGCTATCCTCTTGGTTGCATAACTCATGGGCCTGACTAAAACTTCTCAAACATTCAAAAACACATCCAATGGAGTTCTGAAACATAATGGAATGTGGACGTTCTGGAATGCTGACACACTTGGCACCGTTCCAACCGCGTTCCAGGAACCTTCTCACGCCTTCTCATCGGCGCAGGCCGCGTACCGCCCCAGCCAGTCCTCGAAGACTTCATCAGCCTTGGGGGCCACGTCCACCGCCACGCCACGCGCAGCAGCGACCACCGCCAGAGCCTGGCAGCAGCGACCACCGACGGTGCCGACGGTTCCGAGACGATTGGCTTTGCCCAGGCATGGGGTGTTGGAAAAAAGGCATGGCCTCAACGCCTGAGGTAGGGAATACCCTGCTATTGAGTCTATTGAGCTTAAAATTGTGTATTAGACTTGGTGCTGCTGGGCTCTTGGGCCTTGAGACGAGGCTGACACCCACTGACACTGAGCAATCTTAGCTCCTTTTGCTTTCGTGCCGCATCTTTTGATGAAGAGCACCTGAACCATCTCTTGGTGGCCACATGGCATGTCTGCAGCTTCTGAGAAAGTCCATTCCCCAAGCCGCGCCTCTCGATATACAGGAGCCATATGATGTGAAATGCCCTTTGGCGCGAGCTCCAGATATCCCATCTCTGGAAAATCTGGAGCATTTCCTGGGAAGGCGCTGGGAAGGTCTTCCAGTCTGCCTCCATGGTTTGAACCATGGACAGCTCTAAAAGTCCCATCTTTGACGATGTCCAAACACTTGAACTGAAGCGTATGCCACCGTATGCCGAAAACAAGCATGGGGCATGACTCCAAACAGGGAATCCAAAAGAAAACAGTTCAGCAGGTTCCCTTTTTGGTCCATCCCCAGATGTATTTGATTGAATCAATGGAGCAAAAATCTCACAACTGAGGTCTCTTCCGCGCCAGGCAGTCCACTTGCTGAGGCTGCCCTCCTTCTTCGAGTCAGCCTCCTTGGAAAGGAACAAAGGAGTTTCATATCACATAATTTGTGTGCTCAGAATTGTCTGCTCTTTCCGGTCTGTTGGAGAAAGTATCCCCTTTGATGTCTTGAACCCCGAAATCGTGTGGGGTTCAACTGTTCACCTTGCCTCACTCAGGAAATTGCAGACAAAACTAGCCCTCACTCTAGTTCATTCATTTGGTTTTCTGGCGTCTTGTGAAAGGTTTTCTGGCGGCTGCTTCAGAGCCCGTTCTCCAATCACGGTCACTCCCGACACCACTCACCGGGAGCAGTCGCCCGGTGCCCACCCGGCCGCGACCGCTCCTCGGTCTGGTGCAGGACCACCACGGCTCCGGGCACGTGCTGATCCGAGCTCCGGCGCCGGTTTGCCAAGGCCAGTTGCAGGACCTCCTCCACCTGAAGCCGAAGAAAAGAGCAAAGCGACCGGGCCAAATCCCGGAGAAAACACACACAAAAACAAAAACACTGCCCTGGGCGGGTGGGCTGAAGAAATCCGCCAAAAAATACAGGGATACCAAAAAAGAAAATGTGGGCTCTTCAGCCATGACAGCACAAATCTACCAATGAAGTCGACTTGGAGGGGTCAAAGTTGAAACAAGTCCACCAAAAACATGGGATGATTCCAATCCCTAAGGCCCCAGGCAGCTAACCACCATAATCCACCGTGATGTACGTAGTCACCTGCTAAACTGCACCGGTGACTGAAGTAGACGGCCCGGCAAAAGGCTGAAAACACACCGTCTAGACGGCCCTGCTTGGCTTGGTGGGAAAATGGCACCAGACCGGAGCGGTACAGCTATCCTGGTGGACAGAGGAATCTCTTCATTTTCAGCGGTCAACCAGGGTTATGGGGTTTTGACCCACGGCCATCATATCTCAGATTACAGAAATCCCCGCAGCGAATTTCAGACTACGACGACTGGCTGAGGGGTGGATCGTTGATGGCTGCGCCACCCAGTCTGAGGTTGCGCCTTACCTACTTGATCTCTTTGATCTGTGGCCACCATCGTCCAACTCCCGTCACAATATCTCAGATTCAGCCTCATAACATGAGGTGAGTTGAAACTCAGTTCTTGAGCTGATTGGACCTGCCCTGAGCTACCACCAGTGAGTGACCTTCTTTCTCGAAGAAGAGGCCCATGATGGGCCGCCCATGATGGGCAGAAGTTTCTTGCCACCTCCCTGTTGTGGACATCTTGACCTCTTCTTCCCAAAAAGGAGTCCCACCCGTCGACCCCTTCTCTGATCTGGCAATCAGGGCACGGAAGCTCCTTTGCCCAGCAAAGAGAGGCGCCCCAGGTTTTGCATGCTGATCTTGGTCAATCAGGTGGCAAAAATTGAAAAACAACAGATTGATCCATGAAGTCCTATTCGCATCTCTCACAATATCCCAGGCTGCTGATGCTGTGCATCAGAATCAACAGTATTCCTTGGAGGTAGCCCCAAAAATACGGGTCATCGAGGCGACGAACGGCCACAACACCAAAATGCAGGAACATGCAAGAAATGCTGTTCACTTTCGTGGTCCGTCCGCTCCGCTAACTGTTTTTTTATGGTCCCGGCCGGGTAGGTCGTGGAACGTATGAACCGCTCCAAGTGGAGAAGACACTCCGGTAGATGATGCAGGTGGGCGTGGGATCCGACCCCAAGATAGTCCGACGAAATGACTACTACCAGGCATGTTATGTATATATGTATACAGTATACGTAGAGAGAGAGAGAGAGATTTCGGACATGTCGATGTGTTAAACAATACTGTAAGGTGCTGAAACTGAAAGCTGTGGTCGTGGGGAATCATAGGACTAGTCTGTAGAAGTGACTGCACGAGGCATGTTTTATATAGATGTATGTGTGTATATATATATATATATATATTTGTTTTATTTTGTATAAGTTCTTTCAACCATGTTCAGTAAGCTGCAGCAACTCTTCCTGGTGGGACAACCTTCACTGCTGTGGTGGATATGGTTGCCCCAGGCCCTGGTCTTCCTTTTGAGTTTTCCACTTGGACCGCTGTCCCCACTAGTGTCGGCATTTGGCTTTTGTTATTGGCTCGTTATCCGCGGCAATTGGGTCACTGGCCCATTATCCGCGGGATCCCCATATTTCTGCTGTGTGTGAAACTGAAAGCAGTGGTCTCGGGAGATCATAGGACTCGTCTGAGCAAGTGACTGTTGCGAGACATGTTCTAGATATATATATATATATACATATACATAGTCACATAACATAACTCTTCGTATGTCAACAGACTGCCTTTGGACTGGCCATGTGTACTACTCTCGGATAGTAATGATGCTAGTGATGCAAATATAATCACCTTGCACCTTTGCATCACCAACCCACTAAAAATCATCTCCGTGGATAAGTAAAAACACCAGCAGGCTAACATGGTTTCCCATCTCTCCCGCACCCCCTAAAACGAACTTCGTTCGCAGCACTAACTTCAGCCGATCCTATCGGCTTGCTTTCGTCAAAGTCGTCCCATGTTTTCCCAAATCCAACGGTCCAAGTCACTCGCGGCACGGCATCGTCGTTGCACACAAAGCCTGACCCAAGACGGCACACAGACTGCTTTCGGAGCCCCGGGAGTCGCCAGCGCTCGGTCCGCTCGGTCTCATATGGACGGCTAGTTCACAAGATTCTGGTGTATATGTTCACCAGTTTTTGTAGATTCACCCCCCATGGAACTAGATCCTGAGCACGATTGTGCACCTATTGTGCTACAGGTAGGGATCCAGATTTCGGGCTATTTACAGTGCCGTATTGCATGCGTCCGATTGAAGATCGTCAAATGTTTGAGGCTCCCAGCTTAGCACCATGGGTGCATCTCCTCCTTCGCTTGCTTTGGCACAGTCTGAGGCATTCTTAGCATCCATGCCTCCAAAAAAAAGAGAACTTGAAGCAACCGACCCTGACGGATGTCTGTTCTGTCACGAACATTGGAGACCAGAATGGAACAGAAGAGGATGGGACTCTCCGGCTGTTCAGTTTCAAATGATCTGTTCGTTTCTTCCATCGAAAAGCTTCAAGGAGTCGAAGGAGTCGAAGAGTTCATGTTTGAAGTCAAGGAGTCTTCAGGTGTCTTCAGGTGTCACTGGGGATGAAAACCAAATTGGCCCGGAATCTCAATGTTCAGGAATCTCAAATGCAAAGTGACTGCAAAACTGCGGTGATTGGGATACTAATCGCTAATCGCTAAAATATTTTCTAACAGATAATCGCTAGTTCTCATGTCTGTTGTGGTTTCTGTACATCTCGGTTCAAAAACAACATTAGCCGAAATGCCGTTCGAGCAGCCGCTCAAATTGCGATTTCAATCAAGTGCTACTCGATCTGGTCTTCTTGTTCACTTGCGTTCTCTCACGCTTCAAATTCCGCAAATCACTCAACGTTCCACAACAGCTCACACAACAGGCAGTCCGCAACTCCTCGGTGGTCCATTGTGCCATGGGTCCATCATGGGTTTCTCATGGGTTCATCCTCACCCAGATTGCCAAGACACAGGGGCACGGAGCAAAGGCCACACAGCTGACCGAGGAGATCCCCTCACTCCTGCAAGGTGGAGAGTTGGGGGGAGAGCCGGGATCTGCACGTTCGCACTTGTACTGAACCAACACAGCCGCCACGGCCGAAGAATTCACCTGGAAAACACTGCAGTTCTCCGGATGAGTACCCGCCCTGCCCGGGCATTTGAGGTAGTTAGGGTACGTTTCAGTACATCACATGCACCAGCACCACGGAATTCGCGTGGTTCATAGACACCCCTGACTCCCTGACAATGTATTTTCCCTCCAATGACCACCCGAAATCCGTGGTGCTGGTACATCTCATGTACTGCTTGTGCCATGAGGAAACTGTTCATGGTGGTCAGCACCTGGATGCACTTGGGGCCTACCGCAACAAGTCTGCCAAGTCTTTATCGCAAAAGCTGCGACAATGAACACAATGTAAAAATGAAACACAGCTGCGATACACGTCATCTTTCAGAATGTTCTTCTTAATCATCCTGCTAACGAAACAGGCCCAATTGTCCAACAAAAGAATTGCAACGTGATCTCCCAATTCTCAACCTACCTGCTTTGTATGTTTCAAATGTGATCCTCAAAATCTCCGATGGTCATCTCCGCTGGTCACTCTACCACCATTCCCTCCCGACAAACTCGCTGCCTCCCCCCCAAAACACTCCCCGGTCCCCCACGAAGCCATCTCAGCACGCAGCAGGCGTGTCACCAGGGAGGCGGTGCTGGCACCCAAGCTGTGCCCGGTGACCAGTAGGGAGTAGCCCAAAGGCGCCAGTAAATCCCTGGCGCAACTTCGACAACACGACACAAGACGAAAGATCGGATGTTCGGACGAAGAAAACGGATGGCTCTTTCATATGACAAAGCACTGTCCAATGGCTTCTGAAAGGGATTTCAGGTGCTTGACCGGCTTGTCGTTTGGAGCCGGTCCAGCGGCCCACCATGGTGGATCATATGTGATCATTGCACAAACCCCTCTGCCTGATCACCGGCTTGACCCGAGCCAGCACCGAGTCTGCCGCTGTGAGGAAGCCGCTATGTGCTGACCTACGCAGCTGAAGGCTCGGGGTTTAAAATACCATTTGCCTCCGAAAACTAAGACAAAAATAGTAGACCACCCTGGACCATCCCTCATAAAGCAGAATCTTCTGTACAAATTCTGGCAGTGTCCATGTTTGTCAAGAAAAGGATCGAAAAAGGATAGAAAAGCCCTTCACCCATCCCAGTACTCCCAATCCCCATGCCCAACATCGATCTCACAGCTTGCGGCACCCTGTGACTTGCAGCGAGTCACAGCTTCTTGCCATCCTCCAAGTTCCGTTCCTCGATGTCCCCCGCCAAATCCTCGGTCCGTTCCAGACTCCGTTGAGCCGGTGAACGGAACGGAACGGAACTCAACCTGCCAAAATCTCTCCGTTCGCTCCATCTCCGTCCGACCATCTACCGCCATCTCTACTCTACCACCCTCATCGACCTCCGAGATTCCGTCAGGGCATCCGCCGGTGTTTTCGTGCCTGGCCCATGCCGATCTTGGACCCATGCCGATCGCGAAACCCAGCGCGCTAACGCGATCGGGTGTCTTTTGCAAATCGAAGTCTTCGTTGAATTGGACCCAAACTAGCGAGCAGGCGTGGAAGTTTCAGTTGGAGTTGAATTGGCCTTCTGGAATGCCGCCAGGGCATTTAAACCTGGTGGTTGGTTGATCTGCAAGGTGCGGTGCAAAGAGATGCCGGCGAAACTGAAAACGAACATCAAATGCTTTCGGTCGCGTGGGTGCAGGGGTGTCCACAGCTCGTAGCAGTTCATGATTGCGCCAGCCAGAGTCGGAGTTGATCTGGATATGGTACACATGTCAGTTGCCATCGAAGCAAACAACTAGTAAGTTCCATTTCCTCTTTAGTGCCAGCTGTAGACTTGAGACTGGTCTCCACACGTTCAAGCTCCAACAGACCAATCCTGGCCTCGAATTGAGAGGATCGCCAACTTTTTCTCGTGGTTAAAGCAAAGGAAGTGTGCTGGGGAGCCAGGTTTGCTGACGCCTTCCAGGATGAGGACCTGTCCAATCCGATCACCACCAGGTGCAGCGCGTGGAGGTCGACAAGAGCATCTTCAAAAATATGATGTTCATGTGTTAAGCAGATTCACCCAGGATCTCACGTATATATATATATATATAGGTGTGATTCAACCTGGAGCTTGTCCCGGCTTTCCCGAAAAATTCATTGGTGTTCATCTATGTATGTGTTACTTGCTTGTCCATACTTGTTCCATTTTTGTTGGGGTCCCCTCTTTAGAGGGCAGCGAGTCCATTGGGGGCCTGCCACCCCGCAGATCACAGGTCCTCAGAGAGGGACCTACCCGGTGACACCGTCGCGGATCGCGCCGGGTGTCGTTTTCGTGTCGCGGTGGTCGCCTCTTGGTGACGCTCGCGACCTTGGGTGAAGCACTGAAGGATTGAAAAACGATCCAAAGAATGAGGGCAGTTCTCATCATGATTTGCTCCAAAGTGATTTAAAAGAAAGCAAAGAAACAAGCACTCTTAAACTAGGAAGGACATGATCAAAGTTACATGAGACATGAGAATGGACATGTTCCACTCGTTCATACTTCTATCACCAACCTATTGGATCTCTAGCCTCCAGCCGCCTCTTCCACCGCCTCCAGCTGCCACCTACAGTCCGCCGCCTCTTCCGCCTCTTCCCTTTCCCGAAGCCAAGCATCAAACTTCCTTCACCACATCGTCCACCTACAGTTCGATCGATGAGGAACCCACCCGCGGTTCCG